TGGTCCCCCTTTAAAATTTTAAATTTGACAAAAGTGAATCAGATGAAAAAAGGGGGGGGAGGGCGACTTTGCGCCGCGGACCCCCCCCCCCCCCCTCCTCCCTTTAAGTAATTCTGGATCCGCCCCTATATATCGGTATGTAACGTAACACATTAAGTATAACCCAGTCTTGCATATGCTTCCAGGTTCAAACAAATTACACAAAGTACATAAATTATAATATTATTATGACAAGAGTCAAGGTTTATGGTGGATGCCTGACACTTATTCGTCACCCGAGGTGTCGAGGTGCGTGTAATAAGCAATCAGAGCAGGTGGGGCGTGGCCTGAAGGGATGCAGTAATGATAGTTGTAAGTTTCCCACAGCGTTTTTACAGAAGAAAAATTCTTGTACAAGTGCACTTAATCAGTAATCAGTGTCAAAGGTCACTGAAAACAACATTCTAGCTACTGAACGACAGAAACGTGTTGAGGATAAAAGAGAGCCTCTAGAGACACCTCTATAAGTCAAGGAGATGGATGGCCGGGGTCTGTACGTTTGCTAGTTGCCAAAACCGCGTTCAGCTATCGAGGTATGCAGCCAGGAATATAATGCTAGCATATACAGTGTATACACCGTTTAAGTAGCCAGCTACACGCACCCATTTCAGCACTGTGATAATGTCAGTATCAATGGATTATATGTAAAGTTGCAGGGTCTGGTTAAGTTGCCATGAAAGTGTACTGCAAGTGTAAAATTGAAATCTTTGGCTTAACATGTATTGTTTTGCCAAAGAATAAGAATGTTACCCGTGGAATTGGAATTTCAATGTTGCGGTATCCCTACAATTCTTCTGATAAACATTAAGTCAGATTTTGTTAGAAAAAAATTGTACGCTCAATATTCTGATTGTTCATAGTTTCTAAAAAGACAAAGACACACAATCTACACACACACACACACACACATACACACATACACACACACAGAGAGAGAGAGAGAGAGAGATTTCTGCAACACGTATTACGCCGTGAAAAAAATCGTTGCTTGCCTCGTGTATTCACACTTAATGGGTTCGTTTATTTTTGCCATTATGATGCAACACAGAAATGACATTGACTAACTGATACCTTAAAAGAATACACTTTTAATACTGTAAACTCCGGTTCCATGCTTGCCTCTTTTTAGAAGAGAATAAGCTAATAAGAGGACCAACGCAACCCTGTTGCAACCCCGTCTAATAACAAAAAACCTGTAAAGATATCGTCCTGGTAATGGCACACCCATCCTGACAGATGTGATCATGCCCTGTGAAGATTGATATAATCTTAAAAAGTCAACTTTAACGCACGAGTCAATGTAAACCGCCATGTTTTTTTTCAATGGCGTTACCCCAACTTGCCGGTTGCTAAGGCAAGTGACGTCAGCCGGAGTGTGAGCATCAAGGACGTATCCCCCACCAATAATTCAGCCACTACGAATTTAATAGTTCTTTACCCCACTGAATACATTTAATGCAAGTGAAGCGGCTTTCTCACGCAAACAGTTGGTTCACGATGGCGGTTCGATTCTGCGATGTTATTTTAATCGGCTTGGTTTTTGTAGCATATTCACCACAAACTGGAAAAACTAACGGTAGGTACCCGGTATTTAATGCCTTTTTGTCCGTTAAAACAGATTAATGTAACTGCCGGTATTTCGTGACGTACATGATAGAATTAAATCAAATGTCATCAAATACCGGTACAGTGTAATTGAGAATTGGTTTTAGTAAATAAGAGTGGAGAATATGTCATATCTTAACATTGTAAGTTCTTTATTCTCTGCGTGCACAGCGTCAGTCTGCAAGTTGTCCGTGGTTTTGTTTTGTTTTTTTTAACAGCGTGTGTACCCTGTACATGTACATGTATTTGTAACGGGAGGGGGGGGGGGTATTTACTTTCTTGTGTTCGATTCCAACTGTTTGGAGCAATCAAAATTAATCCGGTAAACTGCTCGTGGATTGACGGGCTTATCACAGGGGACACTAGGACTTGGTTACTTCTCCAGCTGATAACACAACAGCGATGATGTTTGCCAGAGATCAACTACAAACTGATTGATCTCTATATTTATTTATCTGGCTGAGAGATCTGGAGTGTCCTTACCGAACTTACTCCGATCTCTAATAATCTCTGATCCCTGATGTCAAAGCAAAGTTCTTCTCGATACACAGGGAGAAACACAAAATACATTACAGTGATTCAAAAGAAAGTGAAGAGATATTGAAGCCAATTAATAGAATTAAGACATATTACTAGAGGCATTTTACACAATTAAACTGAGACTGATTTAAACTTAAACTAGGAGATGAAGCCATAAATGAAGTTATTCAATCATTTTAAAACTTAAAAGCAGACTTCAAACAGATTCATGTAATATCATTATAACTGAGGCATCTGAACAATCTTTACCAAACATTGACATAATTTTGATTTAAATGTGGAAGTTTGTAATTTTTTAAATTACCACCATGACAGGCTCAACAAACTAGGGGAATAGTAAACTCAGCACCTGTGTTAAATTTCATGGGCACATTTGGAACGAAGTAAGGCCAATTTTCCAGTAATTCTGTTTACATTTTATTTCACGTGTACTGTGAACAGGCAAACAGGCAAAATTCCAGAATTATCAACGTACATGTACTCATCGTACCTCTTTTGACCCCCTTCTTTTTGTGGTTATGTGGTTATTGAGTCTTCAATCTCCCTAAGTATTTCAATACTGGTAGTTCAACGCAAGATGCGAAACTACCCTTACCCATCTAACTGGTAGACAGACACCTGGCATGTGGAATAAGATTATTATTACTATTATGATATTATGATAATTTAAGAATTCTTATATCTTTTAGTTTCAGAGATAGCGCTGAGCAGGCCTGACTTCAAAATTCAAAACTTACACGTAGGCGAATTTGGTTGCGGTAATGTGCCAAACTTGTTATTAGTAGTACCTGACTCTACTACTATCCACTATGTGATATAAAATCTCTCTCTCTCTCTTCCTCCTCTCTCTCTCTCTTCTCTCTCTCTCTCTCTCTCTCTCTCTCTGATACAACCACACGCACGGGCGCGAATTCGAAATGACTCATAATCTGCATTATGTTCCAGAATTATGTTTGGGATATACTTTGCCATCCTCTGGTGACTATCTTCATCCGATCAGGTAACCAATGGATAAAGTTAAAGATCAGTATCGTAAAGCACAGAACAAAGGGTTATGGCCAACTTTCAAAGTAAATATAACTAGAAAAATGTTTTCAAAGCATTCAAAATGTACCTTTAATGGTAAAATAAATGTGCTTACTTTTAATGTAAAAAGTCAAAATTTAAATAGATGTTTTTTTTAACAGGGGAGATGACTTCGAAAAGATCATCAAATTTGCCCAAATCGTGCCTAAAGTGAAAATTTACTCCTGCGAGTGCTGCCCCGAGGGAAAGGCCAGAATAAGGGATTGCGGTCTTTGCGTGGAGCAATAAAACTGCATGGGTCTTATTTAACAAGGTCGGAGAAAATATTTACAAATGTTTTAAAATACTTTTATAAACGTTACCAAAACATATACATCTATAAAGTGTTTTCTTTTTTAAAGGAATGCAGCATTTAGTTGGAGGAAATGAAATAGTTAACACAGATGAAATTCAAAGTCATATTTAACTAAATATTTAACTAAATCATGTTCACATGACATTCGGCACTGGATGTTACAGGAGATCCGAAGACATGTTTTCTGCAGGTGAAAGTTAGCATAGACATGGCTATTAGCAAAAGAAAAAAACTATATATGCTGTAACTCGATTTAAAATAGATGTAACAAGCATGATTTTAAAAAATCCCGTATATGAATTAATTATTGTAAGAATGCACAATTTCAGAAGAGAAAAATCAGGACAGTGCCTTAAAGTAGGCTTATTACACATCTGCGTGATTAAGAATTCTTGATATGATCGACAATCAATTATTGACTTCAGTTCACAAAATGAAAGTATTCTTTTGAGGTTACATTGAGTCAGTGCCATCTCTGGTAAAAATAAACAAAGCCATAAATTGTGGCTACATAAAGAAAGCAAAGAATATGTTTTAATGTGTCGTAGTTGTTACTGAAATCTCTTTCTCTCTGTGTGTGTGTGTGTGTGAAGTTTGCACTCGTCCTTTTAAAAATGAACATTCACAATATTGATATTGAAAGTCTAATTATCAAGGCAACATACTCACTCTTTGGCAATACAATGCATGTTAAGCCAAATATTTCAATAACACCTGTTGTACACTACCAGACTACATTGGTCTTGCTACCGATATTCTCACCCGACGCTTTGTGTCCTATTTCACACAGACCACGAATCCCACGAATGGCCATGAATTGACAAATTTCACGATTCGTGGTTGAATCGTAATCAGATCCTGAAGTCCTTAACAGATTCGTATATATTCGTAGTCAGTTCTTGCACTTCTTGATCAATCGGGGATTCGTGGCAAAAATTTTGAGCTGTTCAAAGTTTTGGCCACGAACTCCCGATTCCAAAAAATCGTAGTGAATTTCTGGACAATATTCGTGCGATTCCAACCGAATCCCACGAATATTCGTAACACTATCGCACCTGTATCGTAACTGAATCGTAGAGCGTGTCGAATTAGACCAGAAAATTAGCAAAATCTCAAGATTCCAGCCGAATCCCACGAATATTCGTAACACTATCGTACATGGATCGTAACTGAATCGTGAGCGTGTGGAATTGTAGACCAGACAATTGGCAAAATCTCACGAATCCTCACGAATCCTGAAAATTTGTCAATTCTTGGCGATTCGTCGGATTCGTGGTCTGTGTGAAATAGGGGCCTAAGATGACAACCTAACCAGTCCATGCAGGAACTCTACAGATGATTCATTGATACTGACATTATCGCAGTGCTGAAGTGGGTACGTGTTTTGGGCTACTGAAACGATATAAATATGTTAATATTACTCCTGCCTGCATACCTTTAGAGTTGAACGCGGTTCTGGTAACTAGTAAACGCATACACCCTTTGGCATACATCTCCTTGACTTACAGAGGTCCCTGGGGACTCTACTACTTTATCATCAGCATGTTTTTGCGGTTTCAGTGAGTAGAAGGTCAGTTATCAGCAACCTCTGACACTCAGGGGCGCGCGATTTCTAATCAGTGCCGATTTGCTGCACTTGTATTAGAATATTAAAAAAAAATAAACGATACGCAGTTGTGTCTAGTTATGGCGATATCATCAAATCAAGAACGTGAACTTAACATTAGACTTGACGAGAAAGTATGATGTATATTATCGACGGCGATCCGTTTCATGAAGTATCCCCCACCAAAAATTCACCCACTGTGCCTTTAATAATTCTTAACCCCATCTGAAATCATTTAACGCAAGTTAAACGACTTTCTCAAGCAAGCAGCTGGTGCACGATGGCGGTTCGATTTTGTGAAGTTATTTTAATCTGTTTGTTGTTTGTAGCATTTTTACCAAAAACAGGACAGAGTTATGGTAAGTATTGAAAACTTCTTCGTCCATAATAACAGATTCATGTCATGTAACTGTCGTATTTCATGAACCTACACGGTAGAATCAAAGCAAATGTGTGATCAGGCATAGTTTTTGGTAAATTTGAGTGGGAAAACTCAGGTCTAAGGTTTGTCAAATCTGATCAAAACAAGTAAATTGGTTCAGGGTGGAATCACGCTATTCCAAAAATTGACAGCAATTCAGATCTAGATGACCATACGAATATGGGTTTTTAAACATTTTGCTCAAAGATGGCCTGAACACTAGCCGGCCAATATCTGAAGCATGTACGATGCGTATACAAGATCCCACGATAACACGCAAGCCGCGCATGTACATACAACTTCTTCGGCTACACAACGGCATTGCGAAATACTCGTGCAGTCGCTCTGACTTCCTTTTTTAAGACAGTCGACCTGGGCTCCGTATCTCGAAAGGTTCGCTATGTTGCGCACGTACGCAAGTGTCTCGATTTCATGGCCCCGTATCTCGAAATAGAATCGGTTATGGAATCGAGACACTAACACGCGTGCGCAACATAGCGAACCTTTCGAGATACGGAGCCCAGGCCAGCTTCTGGTCGTGTCGTGTCCGTCTCTTACCAGTTTCGGGACAGAATGACAACTGCATTATGAAAGCGCTGTAGTTAGAAAATGACGAGTGTTTTAATGTATAATTCACTAGAATTATACCTCTTCAAAAGAAAATGTAATTGTAGTACCATGTTCTTTATTCCCTGCGTGTACCGTGTGGTTCTGCTTAGTTATCCGTGCTTCTGGCTCTTTTAACAGCGTGTGTATATGAACATGTATTGGTGACGATCCTAACATGTAATAATGTTACGGAGGGGGAGCGGGGGGTCACTTTCTTGGGTTCGATTCCAACTGTTTGGAGCAATCAAAATAAATCCGGTAAACTGACCGCGCATCAAAGGGCTCACAAAATCGGCGCCAAAGTAAGCTCAGCACCTATATTATATTTCATGGGCACATTTGGGGCGAATAAAGACAAATATTAAGGTTTTTAGCTACTCTATTCAGATATTATTTTGCGCTGTGTGTAAAAGAGACGAAATTCCAGAATGATCAACATTCTGAACGTTCTTCCGTCTGGGTAGGTCAAACCCCCTCAAGGCGATTAAGTAGGCAATTTCCCCGAGCATTTGGATACAGCGTAAAAAGTGCCTCTGTCTAACTGGCTGGGTGCTTAGAAGAAAAAAACTAGTAGATGAACTCCTCGCTGTGGAACAATATTATAACTATAATTATGTTGAATTAACAATTCTTCCAACTTTTAATTTCAGAGAGATCAGCTCTATGGGACTCGATAACGAAAGGCGTCAGAATTGAAAACATACAAATTGGTTGCGGTAATGTGCCAGAATTATCATTACCCAGTAGATATATCTGATTCTACCACTAAAGTTCAATTCCTCTCTCTCTCTCTCTCCCTCTCTCTCTCTCTCTCTCTCACACACACGCGCGCGCGCGCGCGCGCTCGTGCACACACATTAGTTGAACAAAATCTGCATTTTGTTCCAGAATTACATTTGGGATATACTCTGCCATCTTCTGGTGACTATCTTCATCCGATCAGGTAACCAACAGATAGCATTATATTCGGCATGACCTATTTTCAAAGTGAATATAACTAGAAAAATATGTTTTCTTAGTACATGAAATAAAAATGTACATTATAATGGCAAAATACAATGTACGTTCTTTCGATGTAAAAAGCCAAAATTCTAAAGAAATTATGTTTTTTGTTTAACAGGGTAGAGAACTTCGAACAAATCATACACCTTGCCCAACTCGTGCCTGAAATGAAGGTTCACTCCTGCGAGTGCTGTCCCGAGGAAAACGCCAGGATTGGGAATTGCGGTCTTTGCGTGGAGCAATAATACTGCATGGGTCTTATTTAACAAGGTCGGACAGATGTCTACTCCACACACACTTAATGTGTGAAGCATATGAAGTGTTTTTAAAGACCGAATATAGCAATTTGTTGGAGGAAAGTTCAAACGAAAGACTAAGTGCAGATGACAGTCTGACGACATGCAAAGTCCAAGTATTTTACTAAATCATGTTCACGTGATATTCACCAGCTGAGAGTTAGTGGTGACCCGTGAATATGGCAATTAAAAAAAGGTGCTGTAACACGAATTTAAATAAATGTTTATAAGCATCATTTTCAATAAGTTCTACGTATCAAGTAACTCTTGTATAAGAATGCTTGGTTCAGTGGCCATTACAATATCCGTAACAATAATTTCATTATTCGCGTTGCGCTCGAGATCACGTGCTTATACCGGCGAGACATTTTGGAAACGTGAGTCGTTACTGTTCTGTTATGTTGGAGGCGTGCAGCGAGGATTTAACATCGTAACGTTTATGTTATAAATACCACTGAGCATTCACACACACGAGAGCTATTACACTTATTTCTAGAACTCATCCATGTACCTCAACTGTTTGTTGTTAGTTATAGTGGGAACTTTACTCAGCCCGTGATGAAAGTGCAATTCTGTGGATTGTTTCTCTGCACCTTGCTCAGTTCAGCGCTGCCATCACAAGCTGGATCACCTATTGGTAAGTAGTTAATACATGTACTTACCGTCAAGGTGATATAGAAAGCGATGATACTGATATCACGCAAAAAGTAAAAGCTACCTCAATTGTCTCGTATTTTCAATAGTTTTACAGTTTTAACATATATAATAATTACCTCTAGTACCTTACCCAGTTATTAAGGAGCAAGATATAGACAAGATGGTTCATTGTTTTTTTATTTCAGATAACTTGGCGCTGCCTGGAGTTCAAAATTCAAATGAACTAGCAGGTGGCAATGAATATGTAGATAAAATCAACGTTCTACACGGTAGTTGTCCAGCTGGAACTGTCCTTGGTATATATTTAGGATATACTCTGCCTTGCTCTGGTGACTATCTTCATCCGATCAGGTAACCAATAAATATTATTTGAGGTGTTCGCACAGCACACAACACAGGGTTATGGCCAATTTTCAAAGCGAACATAACTAGAAAAAGTAACGTTTTCATAGTAGTCATAATGTACATTTTAATGGTTAAATATGTGTAAATATTCAAAATTCGAAAAAAAAAATGTTTTTTTTTTTAACAGGAAAGAAGACTTCGAAAAAATCATCAGCCTTGAATATCTCGTGCCCGAAATGAAGGTTTACTCCTGCGAGTGTTGTCCCGAGGAAAAGGCCAGGATTAGAGATTGCGATCTTTGCATGGTGCATTAAAACTGTATGAGTTTTATATAACAAGTAGGCTAATTATACATGTATATGATCAAGAATCCCTGATTTGATCAGATATCGAACATTGACTTCAATTAACAGAATGGAAGTGTTTTGAGACAACATTGATTCAATGTCATTTCTGTGTTCATTTTAAGATTTTAAGACGCATAGGCTGTAGGACCTAACTGCACATAAGGAAAGGAAAGAATGTATACTATATAGTTTCAAATCTATGTGCGTGTGTAATTGCTTATGTATTTTTAATTGCTTATGTATTTTTGAAAAACTATTAGCATTTTTTAAAGTTAAAACTTACTAAATGTACAAATATCTAATAAAACCTAACATTATGTTTATCTGAAGGAATTGTGAGAACTTTAAATTGAAATGCCAATTTCAATGCAAACATTCTCATTCTTTGACAATATAGTAGGCCTACATGGTAAGCCAAATGTTCAATAACTGCAGTGAACCAGCCACGCTGGTCTTGTCACGCGACGTTTTCGGCGAGGTGACAACGTCTTAATGCATGCAGGAACTCTTCTACAGATAATTTCATTGATCCTAACATCATCACGGTGCTGAAGTGGGAACGTGTTGAAGGCTACTTAACGGTATAAATGTGTTACCATTTCTCCCCTGCCTGCATACCTCTAGAGCTGTTGTGGCAACAAGGAACCGCACAGACCCTTTGGCATCCGTCTCCTTGACTTACAGAGGTGTCTCTAGGGGTCATCCTTTATCATCAGCAAATTTCTGTCGTTCAGTAGCTAGAAGGTTCTTTTCTGTGACCTTTGACACTCAGAGTTGCCTCTGTTCAAAGTCAATACTTACTGAACAGTTTTACGAGTTTTTTTCTGTGAAACAGCCGTAGGAAGCTTACAAATATTATTATTATTATTATTAGTGCATCTCTCCCACACACCCTAAGTGTATTGGTAAAACGCCATACTCCGCTTGCTTCGATTGCTTATTACGCGTATACCTCCACACTGCTTAGGGTGACGAATAAGTGTCAAGCATCCGCCATAACCCTGGACTCTTATCATAAACATATGCACTCAAGAGGCAAGGCCACAGTTACATGAATCTGTTCTAAGAAATAAAACGCTCTTATATCTCGTATTTGGGTTTAACTGGAAAAACTGAGATCTCAGCCAAGGCAGCTCAATTCTCATTAAATTACTCAATTGATTGATTATTACCTATTACCGAAATAAAATCCCTTATAAATTAGCTCATTTGTAAGCATTATTGAAAATCTGCCCAAAATGTGTAAGGTTGTTTTAATAATCACAAACGAGCAAAACACACCTCCTTGGAGGAAGTAATATTAACTTCATTGTTAGAGTCGCATCTTCACGTTTTAATATCGGTGAGACATTTTAGAAACGTGTCGTTTCTATCAGGTTATGTTGAAGGCGTGCAGCGAGCATTCCAAATATGCACAGTTATCTATAAATACCACTGAGCATGCATACACCCGGAAACGATTATAATTATTTCTTAAACTCATCCGTGCACAACACCTGTTAGTTACACAGGAAACTTTCTGCCTTCTTCGCAATGACTCCGGGATGCACACGATTCAAAACTGCGCCAAGGTGGTTGGTGGGAGATAGCAGATTTGATTATGTTTGTGGGCATTTAATCGTGCCATCAGCCACTTAACTGTTCAAATACTACCAAGAAATATTTCTTGTTCTCAGACATGTTAAACAGGAAGTTGCTTGTGCACTGAACGTGTACGTGTTTGAATTCTTACTCTTTGTCAGATACATATACACGTGGAAATTGGCTTGCTTTGTTTGATTTACAGTAGTCGTCAATCAAAATAATTATCTGCTGACAGTAATCAGCAGGGGTTTTTTTTTTTTGTCTCACACAGTTCATGTAATTTCCACTACCCCCCATCGAAACTTTTACAATTTACAATGTCAGTCAAGGGAAGGCTCAACGGGCAAGTACTGTAGGCTACACGTGAATGTCACCCTCTACCCGCCCCCCTCCCCGCTTTATAAGGTCAAAATTGAAAATAAATACTATTCCCCAGACAGTTATTGTGTAAACAAGAACAGTTTTTAGAAAGATTCAAGTCAGCTCCAATAATGTACATGATAAATATGATGTTTCGTTCGGTGAAAATGTTCATTATGCCTCACAAACCTCCATATTTTTACAATCGTAACGTTGAGCTAGGCACTAGACGGTGGCGCCGCGACGGCAGAAAGGGGAACTTCTCTGTGCTTGCTGCATCACATTTCGCATAAATATCAAAATTTTATTAGAAACGAATCCTCCCATGCACTTTTATTCATTTAGTCATTTATACATTTATTTATAATTCTTGATCTATTTATTTACTTATTCATCTATCTATTTATTTAAGCTATTTTATCAATTCTGGGAAGGGGCTCTGATAGGCCTACCTTTAAACAGAGAATCGTGTCCTCTAATATTGTTATTTTCTTGTGTGGAGGGATATCCAAGAGCATGAAATACATGCAGGATGCTGGGGGCCAATGGCAAAAATACAAAGCTAATGTGCATTACACCCTGTGTAGGCCTATCGCAGCAGTCCCCATTCAAATCAATGGGTTCCGTTGTTTTGAAGAGTCGATCATATATTTATGAGGATCTAATTAAATTTTCTTTTTTTTTTTGTTTATTTGAAGACGTGGGATAGTATATTAAATGCATGTAAATCGATGTTTTTATTTTACCCTATTACTGAAAGTTTCAATTCTTTAGTTATGTTTGAGACCTGCCCTAGCAAATCAAACGCATTTTAAAAATTGGGGTCATCGGAGAAATAAGCAAACTTACACGCATTGAAGTAAAATACACCCTGCGTATCGCATTTGTGCCAGTTCAAGTCAATGGCATTTTTTTTTTTTTTTTTTTTTTTGCGTATTCGTGGTTTTTAAAATGATTTATAAAATTTAACAGATGTATATATAATTTACACATAAATGAAGGGAAGTGTATATAAAGTAATTTCGTTAGTTTTGAAAAAAAGAACGTCGAAATGCGATGAAATGCACTACGAAGGCTAAAAATGGCGAAATAGGGTAATGTATATCTGTGGAGAGGAATGAAAAAATTACTGATACGGCAGACGAAACTGGTTATGGGAATTTCATCATACGAAATATGTGGACTTAACATTGGGAAATGGGCTTCTAAGAGTTGGGATGAAGCTACTGGCGGCGATGTTATCAAGGCTATTTGGCTTGGGTCCCATGGTCTGTATATAAATACAATCTGGGGAGCAGAGTTTTAACACTTGTTTGCGTCTTTTTTGAAAAATAAGAAATAAGCTGCTTAGGGGACCAACGCAACCCTGTTGCAACTCCGTCTAATAACAAAATCCTGTAAAGAAATCGTCCTGGTAATGGCACACCCATCCTGACAGATGTGATCATGCCCTGTGAAGATTGATATAATCTTAAAAAGTCTGTCAACTTTAACGTACCAGTCAATATGATCCGCCATGTTTTTTTTTTTTTTTTACAATGGCGTTACCCCAACTTGCCGGTTGCTAAGGCAAGTGACGTCAGCCCGACTGTAAGTTTCAAGGTCGTACCCCCCACCAATAGTTCAGCCACTAAGAATTTAATAGTTCTCTACCCCACTTAATACATTTAATGCAAGTGAAGCGGCTTTCTCGCGCAAACAGTTGGTTCACGATGGCGGTTCAATTCTGCGATGTTATTTTAATCGGCTTGGTTTTTGTAGCATATTCACCACAAACTTACGGTAGGTACCCGGTATTAAATGCATATTTGTCCGTTAAAACAGATTCATGTTACTATACCGGTGTCACATGATGCACACGATAGAATCAAATCAAATGTCATCAAACAGTGCAATTGAAAAATGGTTTCGGAAAAGAAGAATGGAGAACCTCAGGTATTAGTATTATTTTCTTTTATGCGTGTACCGTGTGAGCCTGATAGTTAGACATAGGTTAGTGGGTTTTTAACAGCGTGTGTACATGTACATGTATCGGTAACGAAACAGACTGATCCTAACATGTAATAACATTACTGGAGGGGGGAGGCTTACTCACTTTCACGGGTTCGATTGGAGCAATCAAAATTAATCCGGTAAACTGGCTGTGGAAATAAGGGGCAATAGTAAGCTCAGCACCTAAGTTATATTCATGGGCACATTTGGGACAAGTAAGCCAAATTTTAGTTATTCTGTAAACAAATTATTTCACGTGTACTGTGTGTAAAAAGCATGTACTCAACGTACTTCCTTTTTGGGAGTTAAACACTTTTCCTTTGTGGCTATTGAGCCTTCAATCTCCCTTTGTATTTCAATACAGGTAGTTCAACGCACGAAGGATAACTGCACTACACTTACCCATCTAACTGGTAGACAAACATCTGGCGTGTGGAACAAGATTATTATCACTATTATGATAATTTAAGAAATCTAATATCTTTTAATTTCAGAGTTGCGTCTCATCAGAATTGAAAACTTACATGTAGACGAATTTGGTTGCGGTAATGTGCCAGACTTGTCATTAGTAGTATCTGACTCTACCATTATCCTCTCTCTCTCTCTCTCTCTCTGACACACCTACACACGCACATTGGTTGTACGAAATAAATTAAAATCTGCATTATGTTGCAGATTTCCATTTGGGATATACTCTATCATCCGATGGGGACTATCTTTATCCGATCAGGTAACCAATGGATAAAATTATGGAAAATATTCGTAGAGCACAGAACAAAGATCAATTTTCAAAGTGAATATAACTAGAAAAAATGTGTTTATAGTGCACGAAATAAAAATGTACATAATAATGGCAAAATACAATGTACGTTCTTTCGATGTAAAAAGTCAAAATTCAAAAGATTTTTTTTTTGTTCAACAGGGAAGAGAACTTCGAAGAATACATACGCCTTGCTCGACTCGTGCCTGAAATGAAGGTTTATTCCTGCGATTGCTGTCCCATGGACAGGGTTAGTAGTTGCCGTATTTGCGTGGAGCATTAAAACTGCATGGGTCTTATTTAACAAGATCGGACAGATGTCTACTCCACACACACTTAATGTAAAAAGCATATAAACTATTTTTAAATGCCGAATGCAGCGATTTGTTGGAGGAAACAAAGAACTTACTGTGGTTGAAATTCTGACGACAAAGTCCAAAAAGTTTAATAAATCATATTTACATGA